TTTTTAGAGTATGATCAATCCAAACTCTTAACAGTTTCAATCAGTAAACACAAATAAAAAAAAGAACAATTAGGAAAAAAAATTGATAAGATTATTACATAGCAATGTCACTTGTTAGTTTGATTACCGTATTTCTAAATTGATAGTTACAATAAATATGTTTAGTTAGAGATTGGGAGTATATATATATATATATATACCCTTACCCTTACCCCCGCCCCCGCCCCCGCTACCCGTTATATATATATATATATATAATTATAATTTTATAATATAAAATAGAGCGGGGCTTCAATAAGTCGTTCGTATGATCTTCATTCATCCCAAAGCTCACAATGCATCTCATTCAAATTCAAAAGTCTATATATTTTCCCCCTAAATCCATCTCATTCAACTTAACCCAACCCAACTATCACATCCAACCCAATTCAACCCAACCCAACGGCTCTTCCCCAAATCTCTTCTCTCTCATCTCAGTCTCTTCGCTCTTAGCCACTGCCATCAAGAAGTTCATTTCAGTGCTTGATCGAACTAGAATCGGTCACACTCGGTTTCGAAGAGGTCCGGTGACAAACCCACCTCAAAATCAACAACAACAGAAAATTATCACCGCAGTATCGAAGCCGATTGGTGAAGGTACCGCCAACCACCATCAAGCGGCGGAAGAGAAGGCAAAAATCTCTGGTTGTCTGACACCGATTCAACGTCTCCCTCCTCTTCCTCACACTCACCCCAACCGCCAAACCCAGGTATTTCTCCCTCTTCTCTCTCTCACACACACACTGACCCCCTCAATCTCTCTCCCCCTTCTGCGTAACCCCTCACCCCTACCCTGTCTACAAAACCAACCCACCAACCCCCACCAAAAAATCCACCCACGCACTCAGAGAAACACACACACACACATAGCAGAACACTCCTATTTATAGGTAGTGTGGTTGTTTCGCAAGTGGTGAGATTAAACCATTGACGAAATTGAAGGGTTGGAAGTTCAGAAGAAACCTTTCCATGGTGATTTGCAACGAAGATGTACTGATTCAACATTGAATTGGTGCAGTGAATCAGAAGATGGGTAGCTTCTGGTCGAGTTTGAGAATGAGTTTGGTGAGCCTCGACAAAGAAAGGGTCGGTGATTAATTCCCGCTGGTAAGGTTTTGAGCGTGGAGAAGACGATATCGAATGGAATTGAAGAATCAGAAACCCGAATTTTCTTCGTATTTGCTTCTTTTGTTCATGTTCATCAAAGGGTATTTATCTTCAATGGTAGCCCAATGACGACATAAACCCAGACGATTTGGGCCAGATGTATTTATTCTCTTTAATTTTTTAGTCTTAACTTATATGGTCTACTTTTGATAGATTGTACTGAAGAATAGAGAAATCAAAGTGCCAAAAAGTTAGTTCAAACACCTGGACTATAATACCAGGAAAAAAAAATACCATATTTAGGGTTTGTATTGCATTCATAAAATAAAGAAACTCTGTGTAAATATTGATTTGCATATGGGATTTATAGGTGACTCTCTCTCTCTGGCTGTTGTATCTCTCCTGCTCATTTCTCACTCCGCTGCTCATTCTGCGCGGACAGCATGCCAGGTACCTCACAACTCTCTACTTCTCTCCCAATCTGTCTTTAATATGATTTATGATTGTTGGTTGTGTTTTAATTTGAGTTTTTGTTTATAATTCGTTAGTTTGTGTAATTTGTCTCAGTTAATGATTGAGTAAAATATAATTTTGTCTGGTTTTGTTTGGTGATTAAGTAAAACTAATTTGATTTTGTTCATTATCTTATGTCTGGATTTTGCATTCAAAGTCATCAATCTTCTGTGTTTGTGGATTAGTTTTCCATGGGAGCTGTAAAAATTTAAAAGTTGATTACTAGCCTTTTAGGTATAGTGATAAAACATATAAATTGTGTATACAAGCTGAAAATTTCTAGATTCCTATTTTGAGGGAAAACTATCCTTTTTTTTTTTTTTGATTTATAGAGCCTATAAACTTATTTAGTCTCTTTAATGTATTTTTATATCCCTTGAACAATTAGTGTCATACCACTTTGAATGTGATCTATTTTGTTTGAACTCTATAAAGGTTTATGGGTTTAAGAAACTTTCTCAATTGAAAGTTGATTATGCCCATAAGTTTTTTTTTTCCTTTTTTTCTTTGGGCGTCGAGTTGATAAATTTTTTTCCTTAATACGCGTCCAAGTTCAGTGCTCGATTGTCACTTATCATTCTTGTATATTCTCCAGAAGCCTAAAAGAAGAGACATCAAAAGACAAGAGAAAAAGTTAAGTAGCTAGAAAGGTAATGCTCATCTGCAATAAAATCTGAAAAGTAGGGCACAAATATGGCCACGAAAAGTTGACAATACACCATAGGCTATATTTTTTTATTATTTTTTGACAATTTGATGGATCCGACTTTTACTAAATTAATAAATAATTTTACTCTCACAGAATCCCAAACTCACCCCCTCCATAGGTTTTGTCAAACCTATGATCATGAGTTTAATCTTCGGGTCAGTTAAGGGCTATATTTGGAAACTTGAGATTAAATTTTCAATTCAAACATAAGATTTGGGTGTCCTTTAAATTATTTTTCCAAAACTCATTTTACCAAATCCCCTCAATGCCCCTTACCAAACAGGCCCTTATGGACTTGACTTGGGTGCCAAAAAAACAAATTCGGTATGGTACTTGTATTTTTTATCACTTCAATGAAGATTTTTGCGATTTATGTAGGTCATTTTACAATCAAAATTTTTATCGTTTTTGTAGGTAATTTATCACTTTTGTGGACATTTTTACTATTATTGTGAGTATTTTTATCACATTTGTGATAATTATTTTTATCACTTATTTTTGTTACAAAAAAATTTATCACATTTGTGAATATTTTAATTATATTTGTGAATATTTTTACCACATTTATGAATATTTTTATCACTGCGGTGGTAACTATTTTTTGGGGTACCACAACAGTGGTAAAAGGACCCAAAAATGTGATAAAAGTGCCCATAAATGTGATAAATGAAGATATAACACCGAATTTTTTTTTGATATTATAGTAATTTATGAATGTTTTTATCACTGTTGTGGATATTTTTATCATTGATGTAGTACCCAAAAAAAGGGCAAAAAAATCAACAATAGTGATAAAAACACCCACAAATATAATAAATCACCCACAAAAAAGATAATTATTTTTGTACTGAATTAAAGTAGTAAAAATAATTGCACAATAGTGATAAAAAATACACACAATAGTGATAAAAATACTCAAAAGTGGTTAATTATTTACAAAAATAATAAATTTTTTAATTATTAAATAACCCACAAAAATTATAAAAAATACCAATTAAAATAGTAAATTTTGAAAGTCCAATAACAAACTTTTTTGCCAGTACTGGAGTCAAGTCCAACTTGATGATATATTGATGTTTTTACTCCTATTTTTATTTATATAATATTTAAGACGATAATGTTCTAGTTTTATAAAATTTAGAGGGACAATGTTATAATGACTAAAAATTTAGTAAAAAATAACCAAATGATATGATTTGAATTAATGAAGCTTTTGGCAATATTTTCACTTATTAAAAGTTCAAATTTTGCCCACTATGTCAACGTTACGTCATTTTATCTCACTTTTGGGCTTGTTTATTTCTTTTCGTTGAGCATTATTCACGCTAAATTTTATTTATTATGTATGTGTCACGACACATGAATTTGACACAAGTTGATAAAAAATTTGGCGGGTTTGAGTTTGGACTCGGTACGATTGAATGACAAATGAATAAATTCATTTTATATACATATATAAAAAAAGAATAATAGACTAGTGAACCTATTAGACCCAAGCATCAAATAAATAAATTGACACAAATAATGCTAACCATGATATGCACCAATTCAACACGATTCCTATATGATTTATAATATAAAGTTGATACGACACAAGTTGACTCATTGACAATGCTCCCTTATAGACTAATCAACTTGCATGTGATGCATTATACCATCTGTTTTTCTCATGTTTTTAGGGGAACTTGTGTAATATTGAAAAATAATATGAAAAACTAATAAATTTAATATAAGTACAAGAGTCACATAGCAACAATGAATAATTTCAAAGGTATAATACTAGCAAGGGTGTGCTTGATACGAATATTATGAGATGGAAATTAAATAATATGTTAAAATAAAATAAAGTGATTGACCAGCTATTACTACTACATACACTGAATTGCAACTGTTCCTGGCATGTTACAGGCAAATCACACACATTTTGATGTACATTTTATTCAAACGCGGAATAGACACGGAGGTAGTAGAAGATGAATTGAAACTCCCATGTCTGGGCCCACTAAGTATGAATACACAAGTCAAGTCAAACACTGATCGTTTGTACCTCAATTTGTCTACTTGTTCATGGAAAATGGTACTGATAGTGGTGTGTAGGAGTGTCAATCCGTCAACAGGAATTCCATACGACACGGTACTAAAATTAATACGATTTTTAAATATATATAATAAATAATTTAAATTAATATTTGACGCTAGTGCTATCTTACTCTTCTCTATATCTTAGTGCATGAGACTTCTATTTTCACATTATGGTGTTCGGAAATAATTAGATTTACATGTATAGTCTTAATCCTTTTTATCCGAAATAATTATTGTTATGAAATCTTAACCCCCAAACTAAAATAAAGAAACTTACCACTAAAAACGCTATAATGATACTAGGAAATACAATACTCATTTAGTGATGTACTACCCACCATGTATACGAGTTTAAATATAATATGAAAAAAATTATTTTTTTTGATATAATATTTTCTTTTATCGTTCATTAAAAAATTGAGACTTGTTAATTTTTTTCTTATTGCTATTTAATTTTTTTATTGCAATTTAATTTATTATTTATATAATCAATGGCTATAAAGTATGAAATCAGGATCATTAAATTAAGATCTAGGACTATTAATTATTTTCAAAGTGATACTGAATTTGTTTTTTTTTTTTAACACGTCCGAAGAGACTTTAGCCACTTTTATCTTTGTCTTATGATAGTCCTGTTACTTGAAAAGCATACCTTATGGCATCTTCTAATGAGCACTCACTTTGTCCAAACACGTAGACTTGCATCTGCTGATTGATAGTCATTGCATAATATATGTGAAACACGCTGGGGGTCCTACACTTGATAAAAGGTCCCCTGGGTTATGTGGTGTACATCGATCACCCAACAAATACACTATAAATGAGAGTGATCGAGCTTTGCAGAATTTATTCTCCAGGCTTGAGCAGTTTGTACTTGAGGGAGAAAGGGGAGGGAGAGAGAAAATGGTGAGAACCCCTTGCTCTGATAAAAATGGAATGAAGAAAGGTTCATGGAGCGAGGAAGAAGATACCAAGTTGAGAGCTTATATTCTGAGATATGGCCATTCGAACTGGCGTAAACTTCCCAAGTATGCAGGTAGGTCACAATTTCTCTCTCTCTCCCTCTCTCTCTCTCTCTCTCTCTCTCTCTCTCTCTCTCTCTCTCTCTCATGGAACAGATAATTAGAAAAAGAAGAAGGAACTGCACTAGTTAGTTCTTGATATTGGGAACAAGTTTTGTCTATTTTCGTCCAAGTTTCTGTTAATTGTCTCACTATTTTATGTATGACTTGATTCAGGTTTATCGAGATGTGGGAAAAGTTGCAGACTCCGGTGGATGAATTATCTCAAGCCAAACTT